TCCACCTTTATTTGACCCTCTAACTCTAGCACTTTCTATTCTATTTTAATTCTACTTTATCTATATTTATCCTCTTTTTTTTTATTTAAAAAAAAAAACATTAGCTTTCTATTTTTTGTATTCTATCTACTTGTTTTTCTTTGTGTATGTGTATATGTGTGTGTGTGTATAATATGTATGTGTATATATATATATATATATATATATATATGTGTGTGTGTATTGTCCTCATTTGTAAGCCGCTTTGGATAAAAGCGTCTGCTAAATGTAAATGTAAATGTAATGATTAGCAAGTTACTAGCATGTCGCTAGCATATTTGTTGCATGATACTAGCATATCGGTATCATGATTAACAAGTTACTAGCATGTTGCTAGCATGTTTCTAGCATGATTAGCATGCTACTAGCATGTTGTTAACATGATTAGCAAGTGAATAGCATATCGCTAGCATGATTAGCAAGTTACTAGCATGTTGCTAGCATGTTTCTAGCATGATTAGCATGCTACTAACCTCTTGCTACCATGATTAGCAAGTGATTAGCATGTCGCTAGCATGATTAGCAAGTTACTAGCATGTCGTTAGCATGTTTCTAGCATGATTAACAAGTAGCTAGCATGTTGCTAGCATGATTAGCAGGTGACTAGCATGTTGCTAGCATGTTTCTAGCATGATTAGTATGCCGTGATAAAAAAAAAACGAATTACGAATTATAAGCTCAGAATTCTGGGGAAAAGTCAAAATTGTGGGAATTAAACTCGTAAACTAAACTTTTTTTAGTTTACACTTTATTTTAAGGTGTCCTTGTTACAGTCTAATTATACATTAAGTACTGAGTAATATTAATTAACTTCATGTACTTACTACAGGGTTAGGGTTTGTCTTACTTGCATACAATTATGCAAAATTAATTATTATTATTATAATAGTAAGTACATGTAACGTGTAACAAGGACACCTTAAAATAAAGTGTTACCTTTTTTTATTTTTATTCTGTGATTCTGATTCTGTTTCAGGTGATGTTTTTAACTGCTGTATTTATGTTCCTGTCTTCCTGCAGTTGTGTTTGTGAGATGATGGTCGAAGTTCCGCACTAAGATGTAGAATCCAGATGAGGAGGAGGAAGAGAGACAGAAAGAGGAAGGAACTCGCGTCTGAACGACACACATTTAGAAGAAGAGAGAGAGACCGCTGTTCCAGTCATACGACACACCCACAGCTCCCTGTGACCTTCGACCTCAGCTGCGCACCATGTGTCACGTGATCGTGACGTGCCGTTCGATGCTGTGGACGCTGCTCAGCATCGTGGCGGCGTTCAGCGAGCTCATCGCCTTCATGAGCACCGACTGGCTGCTGGGCTTCCCGCGGACGCCAGACGCCGTCTTCTCTCCGCATGGGGAAACGTACCGACCCACGCTGGGCATCTACGGCCGCTGCATCCGTCTGCCTCACCTGCGGCGCGGCGTTCTGTGCGGCCCGTACGCCGTGCACTTCACTGAGATCGCCAGCGGGTTCTGGCAGGCCACCTCCATCTTCCTCGCCGCTGCGATCCTGCTGCTGAGCGCCGTGGCCTTCATCTCCGTCTTCACCATGTGCTTCCAGAGCATCATGAAGAAAAGCATCAGAGAGAGAGTGTGTGTGTGTGTGTGTGTAATGGTCAGGTGTGAGTGAGTGTGTGTGCAGCTTTGAGACCTTCAGACCCTCAACAACATGTGGAAAGAATTTATGACCTACTTTCATTTCCTCACATTATAGCAGACAGACACACACACACACACACACACACACACACTCTCTGAGTCTCATGTCGATTTGCACCGTTTTTGCATTCAAATGCAAAATAGCCTGTGTCATTCTTTATTCACAATCTCCTCATCACAGGCAGGCATTACAGCATGTGTTTGTGTGTGCTGTCTGCGTCACTCATTAGCACGTGACTATATATCGTGCGCTATATCGAACATTTTTTCTATCGTTATCGATGAAGGTGTACCGTCAATAAATACCGATACCGCTTTATCGCCCAGGCCTAGTCTCTTCCTGTGTAAGTGGCGGGTAGTAACTAGATCAGACGTCTGTGAGCTGGTCAGGTTCAGCTTCAGGGTGTTGAGCGGTTAGTATAGTTGACCTGGTTAACAGGAAGTGACCCCTGTTTGTCCACAGGGACACAGGAAGTGATCACAACAGGTCCGATGTTTACTAGCTGGTGTTAAACTGACAAAAACACTGAGGAAGAAGCATGCATTAGATAGTTTGCCAGATATGATAGTGAATAGATAATATCTCGAGTAAATTGGATCCGTGCGGCTCTTAAAGTGACAGCGTCACTTTAAATATTCCTGCTGCGAATGTGTGCTTAATATTAATCAAACAACAAAAGACAAAGACAGAATCACACACTGTTCTGGAGTGACTTTTGTAGCTTTAATAAGAAACAAATTAAGGTTAATCCTTACAGTGAAGTCTATGCTGTTTTAGTTTACATTAGACTATTCATATGTGACCCTGGAGCACAAAACCAGTCATAAGGGTCAATTTTTTTAAATTGAGATTTATGCATCATCTGAAAGCTGAATAAATACGCTTTCCATTGATGTATGGTTTGTTATGATAGGACAATATTTGGCTGAGATACAACTATTTGAAAATCTGGAATCTGAGGGTGCAAAAAAATCTAAATATTGAGAAAATCATCTTTAAAGTTGTTCAAATGAAGTTCTTAGCAATGCAAGCGACTTAACACTGCTTTTGTGCTGCAGGGTCACATATATATCGCTATCTTTAAATACATCATTTTATGTTCTGTATAGTATTTTCTTTACTAAACTATGATTTTTTTGTAAAATGTTGCAGCAAGATTTTATTTTTATTTTTAATTTTTTGTGAAAAATTACAGTTTTGGACATATAAGGTAATAAAAATGTTTTTTTTTTTAAATACCTTAAGGTAACTATAATTGAGCATGTAAATCAAATAACTATAAATAATTCCATGTGGAGCATGCCCCGGTTCTCACCTTTTTTCCCGCTCACCTGTTTGCATCTCTGCTGCAGGTCTGTTCCTGATCCTGGGTCTGATGCTGTATCCCGCCGGCTGGGGTTCAGATAAAGTGCAGGGCTACTGCGGCCCTGACGCCTCGGCCTATCAGCTGGGCCTGTGCTCTATGGGCTGGGCCTTCTACACCGCGCTGGGCGGCACCGTCCTCACCTTCATCTGCGCCGTGTTCTCCGCGCAGGCCGAGATCGCCACGTCCAGCGATAAAGTGCAGGAGGAGATCGAGGAGGGCAAGAGCCTGATCTGTCTGCTGTGAGACGCCTGTGTCTGCGTCTCATCATCTGATGTGTGTCCGTCTGATGTAAATATATGCGTGTAAATAATGTAAATATGATCGTGAAGGATCGTGGGTTCCAGTCGCCCAGAAACCACTTGATCTCGTGTGTGAGGAGATGAACGTGAGCATGTGCCAAAATCGCTGATGCCTTGAGCCGCCCAACCAGACCTGAGACCCACAGAACCAGAGACAAGAGTGTGTGAGTGTCTGTGAGTGTGTGTGTGTCTGTGAGTGTGTGTGTCTGCTCTTGTGCACTAGTGTTCACCATCATCTCTGCCAAATAAAGAAGCCATGACTAAGTGTTGCTCTACTGTCTGTTTTTCACTTGAACTTCCTGCAAAACACTGGAGGTCAGTGACCCCTGCAGTACTGGAGGAAGAGTGTGTGTGTGTGTCTGTGAGTGTGTGTGTGTCTGTGAGTGTGTGTGTGTGTGTGTGTGTGT